CTATATTCTACGGGTGCGTAGATATATCAATAATCCGTAGAACCTATATTCTAAATACAGTAGACTCAGACCAATTTGTAGAATATATATTCTACTATCCCGTAGACGGTAGAATTTGATTTCTAGAAAAGGTAGAATAAAAAATTATTTTCAATTCTAACCATATTTTTAAAATAAAAAAAAAATACTTATATTCTTCCCAATAACTCTTTTATTGTTTTGAATTTTTCTAATTTTTTTAGCTGTTAAAACTATTTTAATGATTTATTAAAAATGTCAAAAAAGTAAATTAGGTAAAAATAGAGAAAAGGGTAGTAGGACAAAATCAAATCAAATTTGACCCATTTACACAATTTTCCCAATTTTTTTTGCTCTTCTGATTTCTTTCCTTTTTTATAGAAATCCAATAAATTTGAAAATTTTCAAATCAACAAAAGATCAATTTACTGGTAACCCAATAATTATTTTAATGAGAGATGTTCAATCCAAACCGATCTACGTCGAACCGATTAAAATAAACATTCCAAAATAAAAATATTTAAAAGCTTATATATATCTTGACAAAAAACTGAATATAACTCTAAATCTGAACTGAAACTAAATCATACTGTGGATACTACTACTAAACTTTTTTTTGCAAAACTCTGAACCAAAATTTAAATCGAAAACATTAAAATTTCGAATGGCAACAGATTATTTTGCATCATCCCACACTGAATAATAACAAACAACAATATTTTTATTATAATTTGAAATGTTGGATAGATATTATGTTTTATACCACATTCTTAGCATTCAGAGTCTATTGTTTTTTGTTGTTGAAAAGATTATAGACAAATATGAACAAACAAGTAGGATAGTATGAGGAATGGCCAAATGAGGGTTTTGAGTAGTCTACGAGAGAGTATATAAATTAATTACCGCATTAGTAAAAAATATATATCTGATTTCAATATGAAAGAGAGAGAGATAATTTTGGTGGAGTTTGCTATAAATCGAAGATATAATTAGACTGAGATCTGACCCAAAAGGTTTTCCGTTTTGTTACCAAAAGAACCTTTTTTCTCTAAACTAAAAGGG